GGAAGTAGAGTTGTAGTCTTACACACAGCTCTGCTGCTTCTCCTTTATTACCTACCCAAACCCCCATTAACATTGTGTCAGCCCCACTGACCAAATTAAATATAAAAACTCTAGAATAATAAATCATAAAAATCTTATAAAAATAAACACATTTACTTTACCAGAACAAAACAATAAAACTATTAGGTGTGGTTTATTAAATATTATATCTCTTTCTTCTAAGTCTCTCTTGGTTAATGATCTGAAAACTGATCATCATATTGATTTATTCTGTCTTACTGAAACCTGGTTACAACAGGAGGATTTTGTTAGTATAAATGAATCCACTCCAGCTAATTATTTAAATTGTCATGTTCCTAGAACATCAGGTCATGGTGGAGGAGTAGCTGCAGTTTATAAGTCAGAACTATTAATAAATGCTAAATCTAATATTAGTCATAATTCATTTGAGTCTTTGTCCCTCAGTCTTTCTCATCCAAAATGGAAATCAGAAAAACCACTTCTACTAGCTGTTATTTATCGTCCACCAGGCTCTTATTCTCAGTTTTTAGAGTTCTCAGATTTTCTGATTTATTATTAAATACTGATAAAATTATAATAATGGGAGATTTTAATATTAATGTTGATAGTGAAAGTGATAGCTTGAATATAGCTTTTAGTAATTTAATTGAGTCAATTGGTTTTACTCAAAATGTCCAGACCTACTCACTCCCTTCATCACACTCTTGATCTGGTTCTGACATACGGTATAGAGAGTAAGAACTTAATATGTCCTCACAATCCTGTTCCCTCTGACCATTTTTTAATAACCGTTGAGTTTGCATTAGTTAACTTTATAGCTACTGAGAGTAAATTTCATTATAGTAGATGTTTATCAGAAAATGCTGTAGCTAAATTTAAAGAATCTYTTCCACCTTTATTTTCCTCTGTCTTACAGAATAATGTAACAGAGAACAGTAACTTAGATGGTCTTGTTGATAATATTACAACTTTAATGCAAACCTCACGATGAAATTGCTCCACTAAAAATGAAAGTTATCGTTCGGAAGAAGCTGACTCCTTGGTAAAATTCAGAGTTAGGTTCTTTAAAACATGCATTTAGAAAACTAGAGAGAAAATGGCGCTCCACTAACAGAAGAATCTTATGTAACCTGGCGAGACAGCCTGCTAACATATAAGAAAGCCCTTCGTAAAGCTAGAACTGTCTATTATTCATCCTTAATAGAAGAGAATAAAAACAATCTTAGGTTTCTGTTCAGTACTGTAGCTAGACTAATGAAAAATCATATCTTTGTTGAGCCATGTATCCCTATAACTCTAAGTAGTCATGAGTGGTCATGAGATTCTTTATGGACAAAATAATTTTATTAAGGAATACAATTCATGCCAAACTTCCTGCTACTGTCTCTGATTCTCTGTCAGATGAGGCAGCTTTAGTGTCACTAGAACCTGATTTATGTCTGGACAGTTTTTGTCCTGTTGAGCTCTCTGAATTATCTAAAATAATAGCTTCATCCAAACCATCGACATGTCTGCTAGATCCCATCCCAACCAGACTGTTCAAAGAAGCATTTCCCTTAATTGATATCCATATTTTAGATGTACTTCATTTATCTCTAATGAATGGTTATGGGACGCAGAGCTTTAAGGTTGCTGTAATTAAACCTTTACTTAAGAACCTATCTTGATTCAGGAGTTCTGGCCAATATCTAATCTCCCATTCATCTAAAAAAAATCTTAAGAAAATAGTTGCAAATCAACTATGGAACATCTGGATAGAAATAATCTATGTGAGGAGTTTCAGGGTTTAGAGCTCATCATAGCACAGAAACAGCACTGGTGAAAGTTACTAATAATATTCTCATTGTCTCAGACAGTGGACTTGTGTCCATGCTTGTCCTGTTAGATTTCAGTGCTGCATTTGATACAACTGATCAAAATATTTTATTATGTAGACTTGAACTTTATATTGTGATTACAAGAACAGCTCTAAAATGGTTTGTCTTATTTAACTGATAGATTTCAGTTTGTTAATGTTAATAATGAATCTTCTTCTTACACCAGAGTTAGTCATGGAGTTCCTCAGGGTTCAGTGCTTGGACCAATCCTCTTTACTTTATGTACACTTCCATTAGGTAAAGCTAATAAACAGCATAGCATAAATTTCCATTGTTATGTTGATGATACTCAGTTATATTTATCCACGAAACCTGATGAATCCAACCAGTTACTTAAATTACAAGCACGTTGTAAAAACATGGATGACTCTTAACTTTCTGCTTCTAAACTCAGACAAGACAGAGGTTATGGTTTTTGGACCTGAACATCTTAGGGATCAACTTTGCAGCCTTTCACCTCCTCTGGATAGCATTAATCTGGCTTCCAGTTCTAATGCAAAGAAACTTCGTGTTATTTTTGATCAAAATATATCTTTTAACCCCCACATTAAAAATGTTACCAGGACCGCCTTCTTCCACCTGCGTAATATCACTAAAATTAGAAACATTTTGTCCAAAAATGATGCAGAAAAACTGATTCATGTATTTATCATGTTCCGACTGGATTACTGTAATTCTTTATTATCCAGGCATCCAAAAAACTCTTTAAGAAGTCTTCAGTTAATCCAAAATGCTGCTGCTAGAGTTTTAATGAGTTGGAAGGAGAGATCATATTTCTCCAGTTTTAGCTTCTCTCCACTGGCTCCCTGTCAAATTTAGAATAAAATTTAAAATATTATTACTCCTAACATACAAAGCTCTTAACAACCAAGCTCCATCATATATTAAACATCTTATTGTTCCATTCTTTCCTAACAGAGCACTCAGACTGCAGGTTTACTTGTGGTTCCTCAAACTTCTAAAAGTAGAATGGGAAGCAGAGCTTTCAGTTCTCAAGCTCCTCTCTTGTGGAACCAACATCCAATTTCTGTCTGTGAGGCTGACACTCTGTCTACTTTTAAGATTAGACTGTGTCTTATACTTCTTATAAAAAATTTATAAAAGTAATTTATTTAGCAAGGATCACTTTTATTTTGCATAAACATTCCTCTAGTGCAAAAATGAATGGACACACAAGAAGTGAATCTCAGTCAATGAATGTTGATTTGATCCATAAATATTGCGATCATTTATTTTACAAATCATAAAGAATCACTAAGTACACTTAATTGTGGCAATCAGTTTCCTATAAAATTTTAGAACTGACAATAACAAGCTTCTAGCTTCTTAAATTGTAAATAAACACTTAAATAGAAACACAAACATCAAGCTTTGATGTTGAATACCAGACATTTGAGGCAATAATCTTAGGGTTGGGAAGGGAAACTTTAAGAGAAAGGAGGAAAATAAGGTGTTAGCTTTCTTACACTTAAATAATGTGGGTTTTAACCAGAAGGGCGAAGAATTTTGTGCTGGCTTTAGTCAGACAGCAAGTTCATAACACAGCCAGCTTCTTTACCTTGAGATGATGTTCTGTCACCTGCCAGGTCTGTCGGGGCTTCTGCTGAGAGAATCCGCTTAGGACAGTCCAGTAGAGTGACCCTCAGGCGTGTTTTCCAGACTCGCTTGGCGTCTACATCAAGCCGTAGAAAAAGGCAAAGCCTCTTCTGGAACCCAGGCTTCAGAACAAAACTTCCGTCTGGAGAGTTTTCTGAAGTTGGATAAACCAGGTGTTGGTCATCCACACTGTGAGGTTTTCCCCATTGGTGTGAAGGGGCCAAAACCTGACAGTTTTCAGCTTGACTCTGAAAGTCTAGCTGTCAGAGTGACCGACGGCGGTCCGTCACTTACTGCCGTCCGGGGGTGGGGGAACTGTTACTAAGAAGCTTAGAGAATCTAAGTTCTGCCCTCCGGAAGTAAGATTAGTAAAAGAATTATCAAGGAAAATGTTAGTTTCAGAACTTGCCGTCGCCTCCTGAAAATAAAACAAACATACTGCTGTGTGGTTCAGAACAAAACATTTCATGATCTATATTAATTATCATCTGATGAGGAGTCTTCAAAACATAACTGAAAGAAGAATGAATTGTTTCAAGTTCAAAATGTTTGCAAATATGATTCAGACAAGTAAAACATTGATATTTCATCAACTTTAAACCATAAAGATTACTTTAGTTAAATAAGATTTTTTTCTACAGAAAAACCATACGTAGCTGAAATCATACTGAGGGAGAAAAGAGATCTGTCCTCGTTTCTCCTGTAACTTTGATAAACATTCTTTGATTATCAAAATGTGTAATACTTTCAGTTAAGAGAACAATAAATCAAATAAGACAAAGATTCTTCTGTTTATTATCTGATTTAGAAGGAAGAGAATGTCTCTCTGAAAAGTTAAGGCGACCTGAGGTGGCCTAGATTCAGTTCTAAGTGGAACAAAGTTTTTGTTCCTTCGAAGGCCCATCAGAAGACTAAGAGTCCAAGACAGCTTCCTTGATAATTTCACTCGAGGTGAGCCCTACAACTGAAAACTTTCCTTTTTTGATAAATCCTATAGTTAGACTTGTTTCCTGAATTATTCTTCATTTCTGCTGCTATAGACTTAGACTGCTGGAGCACAAACTGAGCACATTTCCTCACTCTGCTGTTGTCTTTAGTCTCTCTTCTCTACATGTTTATTGTAATTAGTTCTATCAACAACATGTTTTTTTTCTTTGTCTCTTCCAGAAAAAGGTGCACCTGGACCAGTTCTTCTGTGTTTACCTGTGTCTCTTTACTGTCCCTCAACCAGCCGGTCGGTCAGCTAAAGATGAACAGAATGAGAGCAGCATGTATGCAAAGTTGAATGGACTGTCTCTAAATTACATGGATTTTCCTGTGTTTTGCAGGTATACAGAAGTATAGAGAAAATCTCAAATTAAAAAAAACAATTAAAATTTATTTTACATCTCAGAGCTGGCCTGGAAGGAAATGCTAAGTTTGAGTGATACTTTGTACAGAAGTGTCAGCATTAATGTGTATAACAAATGAATAAGAAGTCCCATTTCAAATGTATTAATCACTGACCTGCACAAGAAACCAGGATATAAGCACAGAGACCCAGGGATTGCCACTGTGGGATGTTCTCTTAGCTAGAGACAGTACCGTACCTGAAGGAATGAAAAATGATTGTTAAGAAAAAAACATAAAAAACTGTCAGTACTTTTAACAATTCTGTAAACTCAACAGAAATGTTTCAAATTAAACAAAGACTGAAATCTGTCTTTCATTTTTGTTACTTCCTCATTTAAACGTTGCATCCATGAAGAAATTTCTCATTAATGGTCAGGGTTCATGCTAAATATATAAATGTAACTAATGGAATTCTTGTAAAATTATGATGAGTAATTCAGGCTCTTGGGACATGGAATGTGACCTCTCTGGCGGGGATGGAGTCTGACCTTGTGTGCAAACTTAAGAGGTACAACTAGATATATTTCGTCTCACCTCGACACACGGCATGGGCTCAGGAACTGATCTTGAGAGTGGATGGACCTTATTCCACTCTAGAATTGCTCGTAGTGTGAGAGGCACCAAGCAGGTGTGGGTCTACTTTTGGCGCCTGACTTGGTGCCTGTGTGTTGTAATTTTCACCAGTATGGATGGAATGGAATGGAATTCAACATTGGTCATCTGTGTATGTTCCCACACAATGACAAAATTTGGCACTGCATTTGACCCATCACACGTGAGAAACACCCAAGTGGAGCAGCGGGCAGCTATGTAAGTGCTCGGGGAGCAGTTAGGGTTGGGTGTCTTGTTCAAGGACACCACAACATGTGGGCTTGGTGGGGAGTCGAACCTGTGACTTTCGGGTCCCAGGCCAGCTGCTCTACCACTACACCATAGCTGCCCCATAGTAGATGAGAGGGTAGCTTCTCTGCACCTTCAGGTGGGAGGACAGGCTCTGACAGTTGTTTGTGACTACGAATGAAGATTATCCTGCCTTCTTGGAGCCCTTAGCAGGGTTTCTGGAAGGTGGTCTAACTGGAGACTCCTTTATTCTGCTGGGGGACTTCAATGCTTATGTGGGTAATGACAGTGGGATCTGGAGGGGCATGATTGGGTGGAACAAATGCTCAATAAATACTTATTTATTGTGAAAAAAGGTAAAAGAATTTCACTTTAATTTTAAACTCAAAGTATGATTTTATATTGTTTAAATTAAAGATTGTAATAAATATCAATTAGAAAAGCTGCTAATAGTAATTTAAATTGTGTTTTAACCTAAAATTAGTTTGAATGTAATTCTGAAACACTAATGCTTTAATGTCACTCCTTGCTGACGTAAACACATACTGACTGGCTTTGATGTACATTGCCCTATATTGACTGAAAGGATGTGGACACCAGTTGTGGCAGGGGGGAGTAGTGTAGAAATTCAGGTCTCTGTGTCGTGGTGCAGCTGCAAAGGATGCTGGGTACAGATGCATTGCCCTCACACACACACTAAAAAAAAGAAAAACAACTAAGGGTGCATGTTATCTCTTAAGAGTGCATGGTGTAGTGGATAAGTTCATGCGTATGAATCAGAGGACCTATACACTTGGACAAAAGTGTTGGTACCCCTCGTATAATGAAATAAAACCCCACAATGGTCACAGAAATAACTAGGATCTGACAAAAGTAATAGTGAATAAAAAAATATGAAAATTAACAAATGAAAGTCAGACATTGCTTTTCAGCCATACTCCAACAGAAACTTTTTTAAAATAAAACTCAGGACAGAAATGACAATTCCCTTACCTTGTATTTTTTTGCACAACCTTTTGAAGCAATCACTGCAATCAAACAATTTCTGTAACAGTCAATGAGACACCTGCAGCTCTCAGCAGGGGCCTCATGTACAAAGACTTGCGTGGATTTCTTACTGAAACGTGGCGTTCGGTCAAATCCAGAAAACGGCGTATGCACAAAAAATCCAGATGTATCAAACTGTGCGTACGCCAGAATCCACGCGCATTGCTTTTGTACATCACAATTAACGTGGAACTGAGCGCAGGTAAGATACCACCCCTGACACGCCTTCATTAACATATGTTAAACAGATGCTAATTACTTCCTGCATGTGTGAAGGACACGTTTGAGTGATCCCTGTGCGATCAGAAATGATTTCTAAAGTCATAAAAATAATGAATTAAATATAATGTGAGTGATAAAAAATCCTAAGTAAAAATAGGAATAAAATATGTTTATCATGCAAAGAACGAGCGATTGTTTATCGGTGTGTGTGTGCAGTGTGCACGCTGCTGTGCTGCGCAACTGATCCATCCATTCTGAGTCTAAAAATATTAACTTTGCGCACAAGTTTATTACCATAGTTACTGTAAACACAGAGGAACTTAAATGTTTGGTAGAACATAGATCTTAGTTTATTTCATAACTGATATTAAGAAACGAGTCTCTGCGTCGCAGTAGAGTTCACATGATATGACGTGATGTTGGAGAGTCCCCACAAACGCTGCGCGTCCTTTATTTAACTGCGTCTATGTAGATGTAATAATTGTTAATCACGTGTGTCTGGTGTGAACAATAATCATTTTCACATCATGAACAGTTTCTCAGAATCACCTYWWAGTGTCDCCAATGGAACCAGAACCACAGAAACGTGCGTACGCCAGCCCTGGAGTTGGCGTGGGGCTGCGCAGATTTCCGCGTTCAGTTGAGTTTTGATACATCCAGAGTGTTGCGTGTAAAATGAAGTACGCAAGGTTTTTGTGTGTACGCACCGTTGATACATGAGGCCCCTGGTCTTTTGGTCAACTCCTCATGAGCAAGCTGCTCCAGTTGTCTCAGGTTTGAAGGGTACCTTTTCCAGACAGCATGTTTTAGCTCCATCCAAAGATGTTCAACAGGATTTAGGTCAGGGCTCATAGAAGACCGCTTCAGAATAGACCAATGTTTTCCTCTTAGCCCTTCTTGGGTGGTTTTAGCTGTATGTTTTGAGTCATTATCCTGTTGCAAAACCCATGACCTGCGACTAAGACCAAGCTTTCTGACACTGGGCAGCACATTTCTCTCTAGAACGCCTTGGTAGTCTTGAGATTTTATTGTACCCTGCACAGACTCAAAACACCCTGTGACTGATGCAGCAAAGCAGCCCCAGAACATAACAGAGCCTCCTCCTTGTTTCATATAGGGACAGTGTTCTTATCTCGATATGCTTTACTTTTCCCAATGTGAACGTAGAGCTGATGTGCCTTGCCCGAAAGTTCTATATTTGTCTCATCTGTCCAGAGGACATTCTCCCAGAAGCTTTGTGGCTTGTCAACATGTAGTTTGGCAAATTCCAGCCCATGGAATCTATGATTTGATGTCCTCCTTGGTTGTCTCCCATTAAGTCCACTTTGGCTCAAACAATGACTAATGGTGCAATCTGACACTGATGTTTCTTGAGCTTGAAGTTCACCTTTAATCTCTCTAGAAGTTTTTTTCTGGGCTCTTTTGTTGCCATTCATATTAGCCATCTTTTTGATTTGTCATCACTTTTTTTCCTGCGGCCATATCCAGGGAGGTTGGCTATAGTATCATGCATCTTAAATTTATGAATAAGTGCAACTGTAGTCACAGGAACAGCAAGCTGCTTGGAGATGGTCTTATAACCTTTACCTTTAACATGCTTGTCTATAACCTTCTTTCTAATCTCCTGAGACAACTCTTTCCTTCTCTTTCTCTGGTCCATATTGAGTGTGGTCCACACCGTTACCAAACAGCACAGTGAGTACCTGTAGCCCTACAGTGGTTTGCAAAAGTATTCATACCCCTTGAACTTTTCCATATTTTGTCACATTACAACCACAAACATAAATATATTTCACTGGAATTT